AGCTCACCGCATCAAGACGGCCTGACCTACAGTGGGCAAATTAGTAGGTGGAGATGATCTGACGAAGAGGGGGAACAGGCAGGGGAGGATGAGCTGTTTGCAATCCATGTAACCCAGTGGCATCATAACCACAGGGAATTCAGTGAATGTGTTCTTTGAGTGTTGGAGCAGCTTTAGAGCTTCCATATGCTGTAATGGAGAGAAATATGGATATACAAAAAAGAGGTTGGGAAATGAAGTGTGTAATTAAAGATCCACCAATCAATATATTTATATAACAAGAAATGCGATGGTGATGAACCCATGGAGAATCATCACTAACGCTTAATGGAGTGTTTTAAAATCCTTAAGCTTATTGTTTTGGTTTTATGAAGCATTCATCGTGTGGTTCAGTCTCATCAGCCTCATTTTCAGCAGCAGCAGGCAGCTGTTTTCAGAAAGAAAAGGTCTGAGCCTCTCTAAGCTTCCTGCCAAGACAGCTAGTGATGAGTTGGTGAAAATACTGAATACATGAGTATTGGATTTACACTCATCAGGCAGACAGAGACACAGAAATGACCTTGAGTCTGCTTTTTATTTAGGGTGGTTTCAGATAGCAACCTACTGCTGCTGTCTCAGAGCAGGAAGAAACACTAGTGAGTTGTTGCTGTGTTACAGCTTTCCACACCTCACACATTCCAGCAGCACTGACTTTCATAACTGATGCAAACTCACAATTTTTCAAATGATTGATTAAACTGACAGTAAGCAGTCTGAATAATCGGCACCCATAAAGAATTACAGTATGGAGCTGTTAGTGGCATGGTCACGCCTTCTCTTCTTTACTTTGTCATTGCAATGGCAACCCAATTTGAATATGGTAGACAAGATAGAAGACGGAGGTGACAGTCTGCTGTGTGAGGTGGTTAGCGCTGTGGCCTCACAGCAAGGAGGTTCCAGTTTCGAGCCCAGGCCAATCCGTTGCCTTTCTGTGCGGAGTTTACATGTTCTCCCTGTGGGCTCTCTGCAGGCACTCCAGCTTCCTCCCACAGTCCAAAGGCATGCAGCTTATGTTAACTGGCGACTTGAAATTGCCCCTAGGAGTGAGTGTGTGTGGCTGTTTGTCTACATGTCAGCCCTGTGATAGACTGGCAACCTGTCCAGGGTGGACCCCGCCTCTTGCCCAATGTCAGCTGGGATAGGCTCCAAACTCCCCATGATCCCGTTCAGGTATAAGTGGTACAGATAATGGACTGATGGGTGTTTTAAGATTGTGTTGATTTCTCCTTAATATTTTTAAACTCTATCTGAGTCAGATGCCGTTTAATTTTCACTGGGGGTAGTAGTTTAAATGATTGAATTGAAGCACTATAGCAGATTTGGAACTTTAGTTTGGGTTTTTTCATAGTATTAATGTCAGCCTTTAGTCTGTAGGTCTGCCAGGGTTTCATTAGTCTTGAAATGTCAAGTAAAAAATTTGTCCATTTACAACTGCAAGGGTTGTTTGCTGCTTTTTGGTGTCCAACAGGATATACATTTAAATGAGTGGAAAATGTTTTCTGACATCATTACTGCATTGTAAATCTGCCTGTTTTCTTTAAAATGTCTTAGTTGCTATGTATGAAAAGCCAGGACGGTGATCAAGCAGGTGCATTGTTCTGTCAGCAGTCCTGCATGACGAACATGAAAAAGGATGAACAGTGTTGCCTGAGAGCAAGGTGGGATGCCGATTGTGTCCATTCTCACTGTGCAGTGCCGTGTGGTGCAGCTGAATGCAACTGCTGTGGGACTGTTCAGCATGAACAGTTGCTGACATGCTGAGACGCAGCTGTCTTTCTGAAGTGACGCTTTTGCAGCTCAACATGAGCAGCAAAAGGGTGGCAGGAAGACACAGGGCAGACAAATGGCTTGACTCATTCCCTCTGTACTTCTGTTTTACACTTCACTTTGGTTGATGGTAATTTTTTTTCCCACAATTTCCCACTTATCACTTTTTATAGAGGTAGACTCACACAGAATGAAAGACAGCTTTGACCCACCAGGTAGTCTCTGGGGAGGTCCACGCCTAACTCACTGGCAGCCTTTTGACATCTTTGAAAAGGAAGAATGAACTGTGTTCACAACATGAGACCGCCCGCTCTCTGGGTTGGGTTACCATTGTATGTTTTGGCCCCTCTGCTCTTTCCACAAGTGTTCACGCTCATCATTTAACTATTTAACAACAGCAAATTGTGCAGATAGTGAAGTAGAGTTTGACAGCCACCTGGTTAGAGCCGAGTCTCGCACAATGTGGCAGCTTCCAGTTTGGTTTGGTTGGTGAACACAGGCATTTGTCGGAGTGCTGCCGCTGTAGGTGGGTCTGGTTTAGGTGTGATGTCAGGGTGGGATTGCGGGCTCATCTGTGTTTACCTTTGAGGGGGGACCACCTGTCTTGTTCCACACAGGGCCTGTTTAGACAGTATCAGGCAGTGCAATGGAGGATATTTGGACTTTGTTTTCGTTTTAATTGGCTGGAGGCTCCCTTCTGACTCGAAGCTCATGCACAGACTTCTGGCAGTAGCAAGTGAAGTGAGAATTTCATTGTGTGTCTTGCGGCCGGCCTGAAGAGCAGGTTCAGCATGTCAGCCGGCCTTACCCGTTACTGAAAAGGGACAGGAGTCTTCCTCATCTGTCAGTGGTATGACCTTGTTTGATCACCTGGCTCCTTTGTAGGTTTGACTGTGATGTGGTTTGTGTTGCTGTAAAATTGTGCTGTTTCACAAAAACCACTCTATAGTGACTTTTTTTTTTCCTCATACAAGCCACGTCTGACTCTCAGAATAGAGGAGTCAGCCCTTTAATCCTGGCAATAGCACAGGCGCTTATGCGATGTTCACCCAGACTGCAGTAAGTTCCTGCTACTCTTCATATGAAATGAAATGCCTTTTATCATATGACATGTGGCTTAACTATGCCTGCATATAGATTTAGACCAACATTTACTGTATTCTCAGTTAACACTAACCTGTCCTAAACTTTTGCCACTGATGTTCCTGTTGCACCTTCACAACACAATCCATTTACAAATTCTTGTTGCTGAAAGGCTTTGATTGTGAAAGTGAGCTAAACAAAGTGTGATAATACCAGAAATGCTCAGAAAAGTTTATACTGTTCTTTGGCAGGTCCATGTGGTGCTTGTGTTCAGTTTTATCCCCCCCCAACTCATCTTTTCAGGCTGTTAAAAGAATCTTGCTTAAGATGAATTAACAGAGAGGGCAATGCTACTGCTCCACTTAAACTTTCTTTAACAGACTTAATGATGTACTGATGTTAAACTTGCACTTGCAGCTCAAAGAGATCCAGTGTCTACAAAACAGCCCAGCATGTGACCTGCTATCTGTGCTGGTGCATTATAGGCTTGTCATGCTGGTGCTCTTGAAAGTGCTTGAAAGTGCTGGACTGCTATGGCTGACCGTTACTGCATGATAGTGTCTCTCTGTGTGTTTGTTTGTCTGCAGCCTTACATAACAATCTAGTAAACAGTGATGATTCTGTTTTTCCTTCTGTAGTAGATTCATGAACTCGTTATGAAGGAGATATTCTGTCTGCTGGTTGTGACACAGTCATTGTTCTTTCTTAAACTAACAATCTCTGTGTTGATCTTTCATTCATCATTATCAGTTTCATCAGTTAAACGTCAGGGTCTTTTTGATTCATTGATCCAAATTTTGAAGTTGTGATTGTTTTTTGTGGCAGTGTCGCAAGACAAGACAAAAATGTGGCTAAATCCTAATTCACTAACTATTCATTAACTCACTAATTTAACTCAATGCACATCTAAATGAAACACATAATATTCTTAATGTTTCAACCCCATAGCTAACAACACTGTAGTATACAGTAAGCTGTCTACATTGTACCATCAACACTTGGTCTTTTCATGATTTTCACGCTTTAGTTTATACCTGTGTGTCTGTGTTGTCTGTGATTGGATAAAGCTATTCATGTATCTCTCCTGTTAGCGGAGGGTTCTGGAAGTGAGGAGCGTAGAGAGGAATGAAGTGGGAAAGAGGAGGGAAAAAATGGAGGTTGCTGAAGTTGAAGTGTGAAGAGGAGATGGTAGAAAGAAGAATGAAGAGAAAGAGTGAGAGAAATGAAAAGAAAGAGGTCATTAATTTAGTGCTGTGGGAGGGATCTGAAGGTTAGTGAGCGCTCTCTGCCAGGCCCTCCTGGGTTGACTGATGCCTTTGTGAGGAAGCCAGGAACCACACACACACACACACACACACACACACACACACACACACACACACACGTACATGTGTTCCAAGAAACTCTGGGTTTGTTGTGGCAGTCCAGTTTCTGCAAAATGGACACACACACATGCAGATGGTCATTAAGGCTTCAAAGTGAGAGCAAAATGGGAAACCTCTATTTATTTTTTCTCCTGAATGTGATTCACTGTGATGCGTCTGCTAATGGGGTGACTCTCTGGTGTCTTTCTCTGCTTTAGATGGAAGTCAGAGAGTATTGTTGTGTTGGACTACATAAGGATAAATATAGGTATTTCTTGTTCATGCAACAAGGTCAAGTTGCAGTGTAGAGAGAGAAGATGTGATTTGATTCATAATGTCTTCATTAGCTACAGCTCCTGTTCTTTACAGAGGTATCTGTGCTACCTGTTCTGGTCAGGACAACACAGTTCTATTTCTGTGGCTGTACCAAGACAGGAAATGGACGTCTTAGGAGGTCACAAGCCAAAAATGTTGGGAACCACTGGTGTAGCAAGTCGAGAATGAATAATTATTTATTTAATGCCAAACACAGTGCGAGAGTCGGGTGAGGGGATAGCCTTATTTACAATATTGTGTTTTATCTTTTAAATAACAAGAGGGCAGTGATAAAGAATTGGTGACAAACAAGTGGGCATAGCTCAAGTCATCTAACATTTTCACTTTCTTTCAGTACTGAGTAAATGAGGAGAATAACAGTTAATCTGGACATGTTGAATTAGGTCCACCTCTTTTTCTCTGTGTTCACAGGAGTTCAGGGCAGTGCTGAGTGTTCATGTGGGAAGAATCACTTCACATGTGCCGTCAGTGCATTTGGGGAGTGCACCTGCATCCCGGCCCAGTGGCAGTGTGACGGAGACAACGACTGTGGGGACCACAGCGATGAAGACGGATGCAGTGAGTTCCTCTTGTTTAGTTTTTGTTATTCTTCTGTTTTTCCTGGGTTTTTTCTCTCTCTACTATTGATCCAACATGAAAAAACAGTTAGAAAAGCCAAATAAAGTAGAAAGTCGGATTAAAAACAAAAATTCAAATGTGCTTTCTCCAGTATCAGAAACTAAAAAGCTCCATGATGAATTCATCCTACTGACCAGCTGCAGTTGTGGATATGAAGGAGACACCGATGTTAAAGTACTCTGTTGTATAAACCTGTTCATTGGTTGCTCAGTGCTGCAGACACAGTTTAGTCGATAACACAGTTTTAGGATTGGATACCCAGCCCCAGATACGGTATGGGTTATTGTTGTATTTAACATAAATACATCTATAAATAGTAAACCGGCAAATTGCTGTTGAATATTTTATGGTCCCCATGAGCAAAGCATTAAACTGGCCACCACACAACCAAGATTCTGGTTTTGGCAGCGGTGCCCAGGTGCAAATTTATGTTAACTGCTTGACTTCTGAATTTTGCTAGAAAGGTACAAGTGTGCTCAGCCAGAGTTTTTCTGCATAAATAGTCCAGAATAGTAAAAAAATATATATATAATTGGGCCCATATGGATCCCATCATCACTTGGTGAAACAGTGAATGGGTCACTAGTCCAAACAGGATAGTATTTCTGATGCAGAAACAGAGCGAGGTGCCCTGCGTGTTGTATGCACTGTGCAGAAAGATGCTTGAGTGACTTTTGGCACCAGATGGCGTTTGGCTGGAAGGAAGTCTTGGCAGCTGAGCCAGCCAGGAGTATATTCCTGCATAGCATTCCGGTTTGTCAAGTGGGGAAGATTTTGACTGCTTCTCTTTTACACTTGTGGGTATTGATGTGAAATCTCAGTGTGAGGGGATTCTTGTTTCTTTTTCCTGCTCACTCACACAGTGCACAGAAGCAGATGCTGCCCTTCTGTTTGACACTTCCTAAGCCTCTTTGAAAGGTGCACAGTTGGTCTGTGTGTGTGGTTGTGTGTGTGTGTGTGTGTGGATATTCTTTTTTCATTGGTCTTCCACTGTCACATTAAGCTAGTTAGGGGATGGGAGAGGGAATGCTAAGTGTTATTGATCTCTGGCCAGTTGAATGTTCAGTGAGTGTGGTACCCACATATTGAGCTGCAGTATACGTGACTTATTTAAGGAGACGCATGTAAGCAGCTGACAGATATCATCTAACCGGACCTTCCTAATCCATTAGTACTGTCTGATTGATCCCCTGCCCCATCACTCGGAAGTTAGGTGCTTGCCCTTTTAGACTCTCTCCAGTCGAACTTGAAATTACAAAGTGCATATTACACAGATTCATGTTTGTTGTTGTGGTCAGCCATTCAGTACAGCTACAGCTCTAGTATCTATTCCCACACAAATGTATTGTCTTGCTGCTGACTCTCAGACATTCTCTAATCAGAAATTCCATCACACATTAGGATGTGCCCATATCAATTTATTTAATAGTGTACATTAGAAAAATTGCACTTTTTTATACAAATGTGCAGTGTTTTCTCTAGAAATATTTTCAGGCACGGTGGCAAGAGGATGATGGAGGTTTTGCACGCATGCGCTAAAACCTTTGGTTATTTATTTCTCACACAGCACGAGACGTTTGGTTGGTAATTTCCATGTAAAGGTCATGTAAAACAAGGAGAATATTAATAGGGTTGCACACAAATAACTGACAAAGCTACCAGTTACTTCACAATCAAAGATGTTAGAATGAACAATCTTTAAGAAAAAATAAATAAAAAAGATACAATCCACATCATGAAATATATTAAATAATAAAACTATAATAAACTCCTAAGTTGGTGCAAGCTGCAAACAAACTTGTGCTATTTTCATAATCATTGCTTATCCAAAAATAAAAAAAAAACAAAACAAAACAAAAAACTAAATTTTATCAAAAATGTAAGCTTAACACATTTCCATTTAAAACTTTGATTCAAATCTGTGAGGTCAACAATTTGGGGTTCTTCAACCACTTGGGGTCCCAGCCAGATGCTCTCCCTTTGCTGCTGTCCTACAATCCTCTGGCTCACCTGCAACTTCTGTTTGACCCATAGCCCGTTTACCTGCCACCAGTGCTTATGCTAACACTGGAGCCCTCGCCACCCCTCACCTCTCTCCCTTCTTAGAACTAGCACTTCTCTAGCAGCAGATAGCAAACTATGAAGCTATTCATGTAAACGTCTGACCTGATTATGATGTGGAAATCATGAATAAATTGTATAGTGCCTTTTTGGTGTGTGTGTGTGTGTGTGTGTGTGTGTGTGTGTGTGTGTGTGTTCTCTCAGATAAAGTTTCATAGCTGCACAGAGACTAAAAAGGGAGTGAACGAGGGACCAAGAAGAGCTTGTATGAATGCACTTTGTATAGGCATGCATGAGCTTTTTGGGTTTGTGTGTGATGTAACGTCTTTGGGGTTGTGAATGAGAGTGTATGAATAATTTTACTCGAAAAGGGGGAAATGGACTTTACATACATGAGTTCTCCTCTTCACCCCACATGTAACATCTGTGTGTTTATAGTGGACCACACAGGTCTTTGCTGGATGATCATAAATCTGCCTTAAAAAAACAAAGTTAAAAGGTCCATACTATTGTGTTTACAAGGGCTAGAGTTACTTATGATATTCAGTGGATTTTCATTTACCACTTTTGAATGAATACTGTTCAGTTTTAGCTTTCTGGATGCACTACTGTTCCAGGCAGCCATTAGTTTCCACTAATTTCTGTTCAGTATAAAATCAGCTGGTAGACTTTCTTATACTGTGTAATCCTTCACAATGAACATTAAATCTGCATTATTTCTTCCAATGTTATAATAGTGTTTTGAATAAATGTAGTCAAAACAACCTGAGTGGACTAAGAAAAGACCCCCCCTTAAATCAAATGCCTTCTAGCAACCCATTTCCTTTTGCATATGTGGTTGTGGTTCGTTGATGGCACAAACTGATCAGTGTAGCCCAGCTGTCCTTCTCCTGAACCATGCTCACCAGCTCAGATTCTGAGACATTCCCAGCCCTGATAGTATGTAGCCCACTCCAGTGTGTTCAGGGTCTAACTTGGTGTGTCCTCCAAGCCGAATATGTCCAGTATACATCCACTTGGAGGCATCGATGAAGCTGATCAAATGTTGCACCAGTTGAACAGGTTGAAATTGAACAGGAACTGGAGAGACAGATTTGTTTTTCTTCCACACAGGGCTAGAGTTGGTCTGAATGTAGTGTTACAGCGAGCCTTTACACCCTGTGAATAAAACTCCTGTAGGGTAGATGCAGTTTCTCTTCCGCTATCCATGATTAGTAACAGTATATGAGGGCTAGAAAAGGAACAGAATATCAAGAGTTTGCCTTTAGGCTCAGTTCCTCATCACCATGACAGGCTGGTACAAACACCGATGTCACTGCAGTTGCTACCCCAGTCTTTCTGCCAAAAAAGCACAAAAATTAGTGCTCGTCACAATGGATGTACAAAAATAAATAAAGTTTGACATCTCTGATTATATTACATTTTAGAAGTGTCAATCACTGGAAACGTTTCTGTTTTCACACCTCACTAGTCACAGAGCAGGAAAAGCATGTTACAGGGTCACACATTTCAAGGACACGACACTAATTAGTCTTGATGAAATTTAATTAAGGCATAACTCACAGACATTTCATTAAATGAATAACAACACTTTCTTTTCGTTGATACAGCTGTCTGAGCTCAGGGGGCGTACAAAGCTCTGGATGACACATGGTCAGAATATCGCACCTTACTATGTTTGATTGCAGGCCAGATGAATGAAATCTGATATGCACAGCTATAGCAGAATATATTTTATGTTCCAGGTATCTCCAAATACACCCCCGCCCACCCTCAGGCCTCACAGCAGTGCCAAAGGCACCCACAATCTCGTTAGCAAAGCTCTGTGTGGGAACCGTTCAGGTAGCAGCCTCTGCTGATCGTTATTGTTTCTGGTTAAAAACTAGTGGAGTGATTCCAGCTGATGCTAACTAATGTTAAGTCAGTGATTTAAACTGATGACAGGACAAAATGAAAGTGCCTGCTGTCAGGTTTGTGACCTTGCTGCAGCCGTCGGACAAACAAGCTCCTTACACACCACCTTTTTGAGGCGGGATTGGTACGCCTTTATTCCGTCTGGTTTTATGTGTGTAAGGCACAAAGCCGGAATGGTGGGCCATTCTTGTTCCGCCTCTGGTCTGTCTTGGGAGGTAGTACCAGAGGTAAAACAAAGGGGAGATGTGCTCTATGTAGGAAGGGTGAGCTGGCAAAATTTACACCACAGTTGACGCAGAGCGATGTCGTCTCTCGCCTCTGGTGCGGAATGCTGGCCAGCTGTCTGAATTCACAGGCTGGTTTGACATTGCACCACCCTTAGCTTGAGCTAATGAACAGCACCCGGGCGGGATATTGGTGATCCTATGGAACAGCAGTAGCACGGGATCTCAGTGTAAAAATGACTACAAAGAACACGCAGTGTCTGCTGTTAGCCCAAGATCGTTTATGAGGCAGAGAGGCTCTATAACACCACTGAATGATCAGAGTAAACCAAGTGTTTCTCTGTAGTTACAAAATTTCCAGAGTGAGACGTCTTCAGAAGTAAAGCTATCGGTTGATCTCACATCAATGATGAAAATGTAGTAAATGGTCATGAAGATTCATCATCTGTCATCTTTTACATTATATAGAAATTCTGCACATTTGTTAGTGTTTTCTTTTCTTTTGTTTCAACCCAAGTACTGCCAGATGGGCAAGGGGGTACTTTAAGCTACGGTCATCAATATTATCATCCATTAAGATGTTTTACTGTAGACATCGTCCAATCCCAATTTAATAGACATCGCTCAGCTCTAGCAGTCAGCTCCATATCCACAAACCCTCATAAGAACAAGTAAGTTTACATGCTGCCTTTTAAAATCTAACTATCATGGCAGTGGTATCAAATGCTTATTTTGAAGGCT